TTCGTTCAATCGATGCAAATGACAATTGCGTACCTCCGTATCGCGTTCTCATTGGTTAGTGTGTATGCCATATACCGCAGGTGAATCTGTCACACACCGCAAGTGAATATGCCATATTCGTTGCGGAATATGACATATTTTTGTATCGTGTTTACCGCGTAACACTCATGTAAACCAATGGAAATGGCTGGTTCAGGGCAAATCAGAAATCAGGATATCTCTTCAGTAAAAGATTCAGCAAAAATATTTTTATATAGAAAATTGAATTGTCTAACTTTTTTGTACACTATAAGTGTTTAGCTTACTTGATGAATACTAAAGTTACAGAGCTTCAAAGTCATTTTTGAAAATCATTTTTCGTGTTATTTGAATGGGATGGGTTTTGGAAAAATAATTTTGACTTTAAAGACCTATTACTTTGCTGATCCTAAAGAACGGTATCAATTTTTTGTTAATTAAAGTTAGCAAATTCAATTGCCTACCTAACTTGTATTTTTGCAAGGACTTGGATGGATGGATGGATATTCTGTCATATGACTTGCGGCAAACCTACCATTTTCCATTGGTTAACATGGGAATGTCGATTTTCAAAAATTCATCTTTATCATCAATTTTCGACCTATCGTAATTGAGGAAAAAATGAGAAAATTTGGAGGTATTGGAAATAAAGTCAAATTAAGTTTCAATCAATAGTATAAGTATTTTTATCGCAGGTTAAGTAAATAAAAATTCAAAAGTAAAGAGGCTTTAACACGTAGTTCAATATGGGGCAGCTAAGGTTGCCAAACTTATGGAGGGGAGGGTACCTTTATTACAAAAATGTATATTGTTTCAGTCTATGGTGTCATAATTACAGGAACAATTTTCAATTGCTTGAAATTTTGCAAAAGTAAATCATTTTGTTATTTTAACATAAAAACAACTACTTTTTGGTAATCCAAGATGAATATTTTCCCCATGTTAGCATTATACTTACCCAAAATAAGTGGCTCACTTGGGACTTTATCAATGTCATTGAAAGATTGATATGGCACGTTTAAGTTTAATACAAAATACGGACAATAAAATACTTTGACTGCTGTCTTTTTACGCTTTTTAAAGACGGTATTTGATCGTAGTAGTAGTATTTCGATCGGGAACAGTAATTAACAACTGTCAACAGGTCCCGGACTGTTGTTAACTAGAAGTGAGACTAAATAAGAAACTCATTCGAGAATCTCTTGCGATAGATCTCTTGGCATTTTACTAGGACTTGTGATGAATAATTAAAGAGCACCTCTCTCCCTGAACAATGCAAGATTTTAGATTAACAAATCGTCATGAGTTCAGTACCTGAGAATTTATTGCGGTGTAGGGAAATCATGTGGAGACGTATCAAGCATTTAAATAAGTGGACAAAAGAATGTAATGTCAAAGAAAAAGTTAAGGATCTATCGCAATCGCACCCGTTCGTCTGCGGCACTTTAAAAACAATTCCCGGGTCTCAATAACGTTGACCATTAATATATCTTGTAAGCTAAAACCAAACATAGTACCAATAAGCTAAAAGCATCTTGATGAGCAAAATAAGAACAAGTTCAAATAATGATTCCTATTCAAGAGATATTTCAAAATCTAAATCTAGAACTAAAGAGGAAGATAAAGAGCAATGATAACATTCGTTAGTCTATTCTGAGAAAAACTAAATTAGAAGGGGATGTAAAGTGAAAACTGTTGCCACCCCTTTGTTAAATCGTCTCAATCATTGCTCCCTTTAACTAAGGACGGATTACAAACACATAGAAATAAATCTCCCTGTTTGTGAGAGAGGATTGGACATTTGTCATTTAACATATTTTTGAAACCAGTTTATCTAATTGGAATTGTCGCAGAAAAACAAGAAAAACAACATAAGAGTTCTCAACCACTCTAGGTCGTCAAGAATTGCAAGCATTTGCCATTTTCTTAAAGAAAGAACAAAATTGTAGGACTATAGAAATCGGATATGCATTAATAACGTTTGCCACATAATCAAAAATAGTTCACCGGTGTGATCAGTTTCCCAAAAGTTACTCATGTCATGTCTGTATACGCACGCTTACTACTTTGGTTCCAAGAATATTGATAAATGCATTCCGAATCAATAGAAAGTACTTACCCGGCACCTATAATAATAAATTAATTTGGTGAAATATCGAGCCCCTGGCCGTGGAGATAAACGTCATTTTAATGTTATATTCTAACGACGGTCTAAAACTATCTTAGGGCTGAATTATTCAATAAAAGCTACACCGCTCTTCAATATGGAGGAATTAAATAATAATTATGAAATCGGATTGTCTTCCCGAGAGAAATATCATCATATTTGTATGATAAAAGCACCAACATGTGAACAAATCAAAATGCATGGGTGAATCCAAGATTTAAAACAACAATTCTTTAAATTCTCTGAAGTGAACAAGTGTAGGATCCCATTATTTATTATGTATTTATAAAATTCTTAGTTTTTCTTTTAATTTTTGTCGAATTCTGTCAAATTATTTTGTGACAAAGGTTATTTGAGGACATATATCCCATCCGACAGATATTAAAGTTGCATATCAAACTACTCAAAGGTAAGTTCTATTCATTGACTAAGACATTGACTGGTTGCCGGTATGGGATCAAAATATTTATTTTATACATCCCCAATCACTATGTTATTTTTGTTTTCAAGCTACATGGGGAAGATATCATTGTTTCACTTTAGGGGCAGAGAAGGAGGTTTTCAAGTCTACCAAATAGTTCAGTGTTTAATTATGCATTGATGTTTTGATTGATCCCTTGTTTTGGTGGTCGATCAGATTGCCTTTGGTTCTCTTTAATGAGGTGTAACCTGATTTCATTGGCAAACACAACAGATGTTGAAAGTGTATCGAATAACTTGTTACAATTTCACCCAAAGGGGAATACGTTGGATAATTCATAAACCGTGTTTAAGATCTTGATGCAGGATGAAAAGACAATGAGTATATGAGCAGGCAGAACAACGCAAAGGGAAAACTTATGATGGAATCTGTAATAACAATAATCCTCCAGATTTCTCTTTAGTAATGCATCATTTGTAGGATCCCATTATTTATTATGTATTTATAAAATTCTTAGTTTTTCTTTTAATTTTTGTCGAATTCTGTCAAATTATTTTGTGACAATATGAATATGCATATACCTTTGGCAAAACGTGAGCAGTGGGCAAAATATATAGTGAATTTGGGCAAAATATATAGTGAATTTGGGCAAAATATATAGTGAATTTTTGGCAAAATACTTAGCACCCGGCCAAAAGTTGCAACAAAACAATTTGTCTCAATCTCAGTTTCTCGCTTTTCAATCATTTTCTTTGTAAAACAGTCAAGAGTATACGCTAATTGATACGTTGGTATCGGACACTCAAATATATTTGGATCAGAAAAGTACTATTTAACATTTTCGAAACAAATCTCCGGCGATTTACGATTGCCCTCATATCCGGGTCCTCACACTACAAAAAATGTTTATACTTTCCATGGACCTTAGGCTTTGACCTTTTTATAATATGAGTGGGCTTGTGAAAACTTTATGAAACACAAACTACGATGTTTATAAGGTCCCTTGGGTGTTTACTCAGTAATGCATTCATTGTTTCTCCAAGGTTGTTTTTGCCCGAATAAAAATGTCGTAACGTAGTTTCGCTTCAAAATTACATTAATGTACATACACATCTCGGTGATGTATTTTTTATTTCTCATGTACCTTTGACCTAAGGTACCTCTTTCTAGGTAAGTTATAACGCGTTGCCTATAGCCTAAGTAATTCCTCTACTTCCTGTTACAATGGCAACGTGGGTTTCATTTTATCAATGAAGGATGGTAAAACAGACTTCCATATTTCAAAAAATATGTTAGTTCAATCAGGCGGTCATTTGTGTTAGGAGTGTTGCATTTGTCAAAATAACATAATCATGCGGTCCTAACTTCGACCGTTAATTTGAATTTTTGACCTACCGGATGTTTGAAAATCAAGAATTACTATACGAGTCTCATACTGCACCGTTTTTCTTCAAACTTGTTCCATTCAAAGCATAACAAAAATCCCTTTCTGATGGTACATTGTTCTTTTAAACAGAGTCCCTCTTTCCAGTGGCATTTTGGTCCCCAGCTGTAAGAAGGCCTTCTAACAGCTGGGGACCAAAACGCTGCTAGAACGAGGGACTCTTTACAATAAAGTAATGCACCGACAGAAAGGCAATTTTTTGCTTTTAATGGTATAAGTTTGAAGAAAAACGGTGCAGTATGAGACTCGCAATCCTATTGATTTTCAAGCATCGGCCGGTAGGTCAAAAATTCAAATTAACGGTCGAAGTTAGTACCGCGTGATAATAGTCTCTAAGTAAACCGCCTTTACCGATGACTATCCCGGGACCTTAAAAATGTTTTGTTGAGCCTGGTTCATGTGTAGTTCATGGTAATCTCTAGATTTGCTGATAATGTCGACAGGATATTAAATGTGTTCAATTAATTGAATGAAACAAGCCTTAATCAATAAAAGTCTACAAAACGGAAAAATGAGATAGTGTGTAGTTATACTACTGAAACTGAAATTAAAGTATTTTAACTAAATAAACACTGAAGTATACATGTACGTTTGGATATTTTACTAATATAATTGTAATGCGTTTGTACAAATGCCGATATTATTTGGCTGGTGACCCTTATGTAATATATCTGTTGTACCAGCTGTCATACGGTGAATTCATAGAGCATCAGATCAACAAAGTACTGAATGATGTAATATGCCCTTTCCCTTATTATCTTAAACACAATCAGGGCCAGTAAGGGCCGTTAAGAAGGGGGACCATAATCCCTGGGGGACCATAATTTCTTTCACACCGGCCCGAATGACACAAGGTGTCTGATGGACTTGTAAATCTTCCAACATAGTTAACTGTTATGTACAATTTTATATACTAATACCAATATTTATGACTTAAAATGTACTTCCAGGAGCAGATGATGTAATGGCATACCACTTCCGACTTAATAGGTGGCCTCGCTGAACACAAACGGGATTCATTGACGGCGTTGCTTAAGACGAACACCTGTAAACTACACTCATCGTTTCCGTCTATGATGACTGATTATGATTCCATAGGGAACGCTTCAGTGACAATGTTAGTGAACGTTACTCCATATAGCGACGACTTGGCAGTGACTGGTTCTTTAAACATGACAAATGGAACAATTCAATCAACGATTGCTCCCTATGAAAACTTTTATAACAGTGCACAGTTCACAACCGGACTAGTTTGCTACCCTATTCTCTGTGTGTTGGGCATAACAGGAAACGCTTTGATCCTTATTGTTCTAGCAACTAAAAAGATGCAGACCTCCACTAACGTTATTTTAGGTGCGCTGTCTGTTTCAGACATGTTTAAACTTTTAAACGATTTCCTGTATTTTTTGACAATACTATTACTTCGATTTTATGAAGCAAAGGGGAAAGTAATGTTGGCGTATCTATATCCCTACGCACATTATATCTTCAACATGACTGCATGTACATCAGCTTGGCTGACGATATCAGTCGCCGTAGAACGCTACGTCATGGTGTGCCACGCTACAAGAGCGAAGTCTCTCTGCACGATCGCAAGATCTCGCGTGATCAGCGCAACAGTGTTTATCATAGTTGGTGCCATTCTACTGCCTTCAGCATTACGTTATAGGACAGTCTCCCGTTGGTCCAACGTGACCAACTCCTCCCACATGGACGTGGAGGTCACAGAACTGTGGAAAGACGCGAAGTTCGTGGCTTCCTACAACAGGATGCAGAACCTTCTACGTTCAGTGATACCCTTCTTCCTTCTTATCATCATGAACGCGTTCATAATAAACGCACTGAGAAAGACACGTGCGAATAAAAAGATGGCTCAAAGAAATCGCATTACTACAATGCTTATTATTGTTATCTTAGTATTTTTGATCTGTATTGCCCCGGATGCCATTATGGGCCTCATGGGACTTGGTTACATAGAGGCAAAAGATTTCCTCGTGAAAGGGGTTCGGGAAATCACAGACATGCTATTAGCAGTGAACGCCTCGGTTAACTTTATCATATACATTGCCTTCAATAGCAGCTTTAGGGATCAGTTCTGCGATCAATTTTGTAAAAAGTGCCGGACTAAATCGTGTATTAACGGAACTAAAAATATCAAAAAAGAATCTGAAGCTAAGTATAAAAAGCTGTCGGATAAAACTGTGAATGGTTCCCACTATAGTAAATCATCACCTAATTCTTCAGAAATTCAGGACCAGCCAACCACACTTAAGGACAATGCGACTGTTACAAGTAATGTTTAGATGATGTACATTTCTGATGTACAAATGTAAAATATCAAAATAAGGCAAATAAAATACAGAAATATTGTATGTAAAAACAAAGCACCCGTGTAAATAATATTTGATATAAAAGAGGTCTGTACAAATGTTGAACTGCAATGCATGGAGTAATCTAAGCACCCAGTCCAGAGAAAACGTCGACATATATTATAAGTTATTTAATGGGAGGGATGGAATACGGATTTCTTTTTTTGGAGCGAAATATGATATAGACCAAGGAAAATATCATATTTTCCTTGAGGAAAAATTTATATTCCATCACGGCCATCAATAACCTATTTATGCCATAATATTTTTTCTGAAACTCTTGTTTTGTATGTCGTCATCCAATGATGTTGACAATTTTAAATGATACAATTCAATTTATCGAATGACATTTTCAACTTCTATTACCAGGTTTTAAAACATAATACTAAAATAGATCATAATATCCCATAATAACACAATATTGAGTCTCATGAAATTTTCTGATAATTCTGATTCGAGATCTGATACGGGATTTTGGTTGATACGGGATCCAATAAGGGATCTGATACGGGATTTTGGCTGATACGGGATTTTTTAATTTCAGTTTTACTCCCATGGAAAACATGTTATCCTACACTTAGTATACTAAATGTATAATAACATTAAAAAATTACTTTGATATTTATTGGCAAAATGAATAACCGGAGGATATCGTAACGATATACTCCGGGCGGAGGATACGTAAGTTCTTGTAAGTGTGGGACAATAAGAACATCCTATGACTTTTTTCAGAATATCATTTTAATCTACTCGGTGATATTGATATATGCACTCGTTCGCTTTGCTCTCTCGTGCAGATATCAATATCACCTCGTAGATGAAAATGATATTCGCGATCCTCAAAATCATAGGATATCCTATCATTATTATGGAATAAAGACAATTATTCCATGAAGGATCCTCCTGTTTCAGTCAAAGCTATCTCTTTGGACTGGGTGAACACTGCAACATTTTTCACCAAAAGTGTCATGGAAGGGTTATTATGTCATTTCATCCTTACTTTAGCCAACCAGATTAAAAAGAAGCCCCTCCCCCTATATTTACCATTGGCACTGGTGATCCACTCGATTACGCTGGTTACCGAAACGGTTCGTTTCGGTAACAAAATGTCGGAACATCGAAGGTATGACTTTTCTTTTTTCCTTATTTCACACGTCGTAGGCAGAATTCCCACGACATTTTTATCACAAACGTATAACAAATAGTTCAGCAGACAACAGAATCGTCAATTTAATTCTTCACTTAAGTTACATAAACGGTATTTCGAAAAACAGTTAAGATCTGCACTTTTAACCAAAACCGTTAATAACTTCAGCGAGGAATTAAATTGACGATTCTGTCGTCTTCTGAGCTATTTTTTCGCAAACATGCAGATTTTCTAAAACATATGATACTGATACACGTTTGTGTGAAAAAACGCCGTGGGGATTCTGCCTACAACGCGTGAAATAAGGAAAGTAGGGATTATATTACATGTAGAATCTTTGGGTAGGGATCTATTCTTAGTGATTAATATGATCATGACTAGGGAGCTCATCCATCCATCCTTTCCTACATGACATTTGACCTTAAATGCAGAACAGATTTTGAAAGACGTACAGAATGCCGATGCTGTGTAACGTGCACAGACTTTCCGGGCACCCTGTATATTTTGTATATTCCTTCGAAGCCAAAATCTATTTCTTTAGTCGAAGAAAAGGATGAATAATGTCAAGTTGTCCCTTTATACTGTTTATCGCCTAAGGATATTACTTGAAAAAGGATTTGAGTTATTTGATCCAATATGGAAGTGATTGGAAATTCAACATTCAGAGATGTTATGAACTCATAATTAGTTATTCAATAAAATACAAACAATCTTTTCAAAATTATTGCAAAACAACATAAGAATTAAATATTTTATTAAATAAAAAAAATAAAAAGCGGAACATTTGTTAGTATAATTAATGAAAGGAAATGCTGTGGGCAAATAAATATAGTAGTTGTATTGTGTACTACTAGAGAACGATCAAGGGGCAAGCAGCGTCTGAAGTTAGGAGACTTCTTGTTTGCTCAATTACTTGCTCAAGATTATGGTTGTGTAAAATGGAAGATTTAACTTTTAATTCGACCTGAATCTGAACTAAAACGATTGGATGAGGGTTAACATAATTCGATGACAAGACGCAAAGTAAGAGTAAACTGTTTATAAATAATGTGAATTAGAAGTGAAGTCTTGAAACAGCTTGCTTGCGTTCAAAAATAAACGTGATTGATTTAGACATTTAGGAGATTTTGTAAAGTAATCCTTAGTGTAAACTCAATATCGAATTGATCAATATGATGAGCAAGTCCATTTAATGAAAACATAGACCAGTCATTTAGTGTATCTTCGGGGACCTAACCTTTACAAAAAATCACCATAGGTCTAAAAATTAATTGGAATATAGTTTGGCCTTTAATCATCCTTATTTCATCTTTCGATGTTAAATTGAAAATAATAATTGGTCAGACAAATATTCGGATTTTAACGGGAAAAACATTGAAGAGGTTGGCTCAACTCAAAGTCGTACAGTTGAAGGCTCAGAAAGGGTTAAAGGGGCACCATACTATAGGAAGCAAAACCAGGACCCCCTTAGTACTAACCAAAAATTTCAAAAAGGCCTATTAGTGAAGCTTTAATGTCCTGAATCCCTATCCTTACTATTGAAAATTGATTCTAGCAATACTCTCAGATTCCAACATATCAATGTAGATATGCAGGATAAAATCAATAGCATCCCCTTGTTAAGTCAATGGCACTGGCACCCTTGCTGAAATCCTCATTTTCTCAGAAGAACTCAGGTTGAGAGGTAGAATCCAATTTCAATAGTAAGAATCTGGCTTCTTAAACAGGATTTTAGGCTTGCTCTAAAGGTTGGCTGCCTGGTTCAAGGCATGTGACCAAGCCGACGCCCGTATCCCTTGACGTGGATTCGTCCTCATTGGTACGACCTAACTAATCAATAACCCAGATGCGAGTAGGTAGTTACCAGTTTTACCACCAGATAACTAATTCGGATCTGAAAACATGGCAGATATAGTAGAAAGCTCCCTTAAGTGAAAGAAAATATCATCTGTCCAACACAAGAAAAGATATTTCACTTTTTGTGATTTCATAACATGGGGTCTATGGGGAATCCCCGACATAGAAGTCACATTTTCAAAGAAAAATAATCTTGCATCACGTCTATTGTGTTCAATTCTTACAGTTTCTTGTTTTGTTGACTTCTCAATATATCGGCCATACTATATATACTCGTAAGTTTGTCTCAAAATATATCCAAGGTGTGTAAGATATTCACTCAGGGGGGGAGATTTCCCAAAGATGCCCTATCATATTAGCACGTTCGAAAACAAATTTTATAAATAGGCCTCAAAATGCCATTGAAATGGATCTCCAAATGTTCACTGTAGTTTTATGAGTATTCTCTACAAGTATGGATCGAGTAACTTCAATAGTATTACCGTAGGTTTGAAATGATGATGTTGAACTGATGTTAACGCCATTCCCAAGGAGGATTGGCTCCCAGAGTGCAACATCGATATTCTGTCCCATATATAGGCATGTCGTGCTACAAAATTTGAATTCCAACAGCCGCCATTTTGTTCACTTCAACATTTGAATCGTGAATTTTGGTCTTATTTCCTAACGAAAAATTCCAAAACTCACAGGAAATGATCGAGATATTGGTTCAAATCTTTTGAACTGTTTATTTTGAATTTATAATCGGTTATAATTTCAGAAAATAACGACATCTCGGCGTTTTCATTGTTGGAAAATATCGACTTCGATTCTGGGAGCCAATCCTCCTTGCGCCATTCCCAAGATTTCAAATTTAACTCTGCGCATGCGTAGCACTGAGAGAGCACGTGCTCATGATTGTTCACGTGATCGAATCCTGCAATTTGATTGGAGATGATGCAAGAGATGATGTAATGGGGAATCCCCGAATACGATAGAATATGAAAGAATTGTGGGAGCTACTCACTCCTCCTGATATTCACTGGTGATCCACTCGATTACGCTGGTTACCGAAACGGTTCGTTTTGGTAACAAAATCTCGGAACATCGAAGGTACGATTTTTCTTTTTTCCTTATTTCACACGTTGTAGGCAGAATTTCCACGACATTTTTTACAGAAACGTGTATCAGTATCATATGTTTAAGAAAATGTACATATTTGCGAACAAATAGTTCAGAAGACGACAGAATCGTCGATTTAATTCCTCACATAAGTTACATAAACGGTTGTTCGAAAAACAGTTAAGATCTACACTTTTAACCCAAACCGTTTATGTAACTTAAGTGAGGAATTGAATCAACGGTTCTGTTGTCTTCTGAGCTATTTTTTCGCAAACATATACATTTTCTAAAACATATGATACTGATATACGTTTGTGAGAAAAAACGTCGTGGGGATTCTGCCTACAACGCGTTAAATAAGGAAAAAAGAAAAATCGTACCTTCGACGTTCCGACATTTTGTTACCAAAACGAACCGTTTCGGTAACCAGCGTAATCGAGCGGATCACCAGTGATATTATACAAGCAATTATGATGGGACTGATCACTGATTATCCGGGAGAAACTCCTATCGGCGTAATCGCTTTAATAATTTAGAAAAATCAGCAACACAAACGTGAACCTGTACAAGGTCAAATGGTGATTAGTCCTGCATCGATCCCTTATGTAACCCCCGCCCATAATATTATTGAACACACCTGTCTAAAGCCAGCTGTGGAACCGTACATATACAGTAGATTTTTTTTAACATTAGAAAATCTGAACTTGTGACCAACTTACTAAAATAGTATATTTATTCATGTTTTTAACCATAATGTCTGCAGAGGGAGAAGGGGTCGATAGTACTCTTTGCAATTTTTTTTGAACCTCCGTTATATTTCTACATTGACGAAGGTGATTGAGGGTAGAGGGGCAAAGTTATGATAGTCGGAAGTCAATTCTAATAAAAATGAAATGCACATAATATTGATAGCTTTTATAATACTGTAGAAAATGCAAAATACAATATTGCTCTGTTTGACAAATAATCATTTAGCGCATTGGATTCCCTTTCCAACAATGAATATCTTTGAAACTTTTTGGCATAATCCTAAATGAATATGTAAACTGTGGTATCAAAATTATAATGATAACCCTCCCGAAAGTTTAGATACAAATTTG